CAGGCGGTGCCGGCTTTCGTCTTGTAATCGACCTCCAGGCTGCCACCGGTGACCTTTCCACCGGCGAATCTCTTGCTCAGCCGTATCCCGCTTCCTTCCTCGCCATCCATCTCTCTCTCTCTCTCTCTTCTCAGGTCAGATTTCTTCTCTTCAATTTGCAATCGCCAGTTCCTATAGGCGAAGGCGCATGAAAAGGCCACAAGTGATTTATCGACCGGTGGGTGTTTGGGCCCATATACAATTATTGGGCTATTCTATTCCCTCAGCCCAACCCATTTTAACATTACAAAAATATATAATAAATTATTTTGTAGGTTCTTGTTTTTTTTTTTATTGTTAAAATTTTGTAGGTTCTTGTTCTTTGACTTAAAATCACAATTGGGATGGCATTTAAATTTCGATTCGAACTCGACTCGTTTATATTCGAATTTGATTATTTCAGTTTTAAAAATTATAACCATTCAATTTTAATATTAAATTTATTTCGATTCAAATTGGTCTTATTTCGATTCCATTCAACATTAATTTTCTTATAAAACTATTCATTTTTTTAAAAAAAATAAATCATGATCATTCGATTTTTATATCAAAATTTATTTATTTATAGTTATATCTTATTTACAATAGATTCAATTACTACCCAAATTGATCACCCATATTTCTACTACTCTTTGAATTTCATGTAATAAAAATGGCCCGGAATGTCATTTTCCTTGCATGAAAAATATCCCCCAACTTGAGCATAATCTCGTGTATGACTATGAATCCTCGGGGACCATTTTTAATAGTTGGCCTAATAGTAATAATACAAAGGCATATATAATACATGAGAGCAATGTCCCCATCTCCATGCCCTAATCCAAATTATGTACACAAAAGTTTAGGTTATACGTCCAATTCAACCGTCTTCCCACCATTTAGTTTCGGTGGTCCATTTTCCTCAGCAGTAGCATCCAGCTATAACAAGGCGTTTTATTAGCTCGACTAATATCGGAATTTTCGGTATACCATATGATGTTCGAATCTTTAGTCACAGTAATGTCACTGTCAATCAATTAGGTTACCAATTGGCTGCAATAAAAAAGAAAAAGAAGAAGAAAAAAACTCATATAATTTTATAATTTGTTAAAATGAACCAAATAAATAAATATGTGAATTTTAATTTGTCTAGTTAATATCCAAACATTAAAATGTTTCAAATTGATACCGCCACTTATGAAATTAATGTTAATTACCAATCTCAAAACATAAAATAAAAAGAATATTGAATTTAACGACAAATTTTTGTGAATATTATGACAACATGATTCATTGTCAAAAAACGTTTTATATCGTCTTTGAAATTTTATTCGTATAGATTATTATATGAAAAATTCAAAATTGATATCGATTTCATGAATTTGAGTATAATTTAAAATATTTTATAATTGAGATATCAATTTAGAATAATTTAATACCTGTGATTTTAATTATATCAAATTTGACATATTTTAAAAGGATAAAATATTTCTATGAGATTGAAAAAACAATGTTCTTAAAATAAAAATTACTAAACAAATTTTTCTAGTCCAATAGAGTTTAAGATTTTTATGTGAAGGAGCGATCTGTCATGGTGCAATTAATCACAGGCCCCACTTGAATTAGACATTTTACCAATCTCATCCACAATTATCCCAATTGATTTATTCGCGAGTGGATAATAACTATGTCGTCCACGTGTTAAATATATTTTTCCATTCGACAAAAAAAATGTTGTGTAAATTAGAGGTAGATCCTTCCATTTATGTCATTTTTTGGTCGTATTATTATTATTTAAATAGTTATGTAGTTTCTTTGTCACGATCCAAAATTATTGATTATCCAAACCATAGATATTTCTAACGTACGGATGTGAAACGAGCCCGTTCTCACCGAGTCGGACGAATTCCTTTCTAGCCAACTCATTTTTAACCTAGTTGGTTAAGCCCGTTTTTATTCGGATCAGAAAATTCCTGGCTCAGTCTAAGTTATTTAGTTTGCCAAGTGGCTCGTCGGTTTCATATTTTTTTAAATACCTACAAAACCATATCAAATTATACAAAACCATATATAAATGATACATCAACATAAAAGGAACGTATCAATATATCAAAATCATATTTATATTAATAATCATAATCTATATACAAAAAATCGTCTTCAAATAGATCAAATCATAATCCACCCATATATAAAAAAAATCATTTTCAGATCCTAATCCATCTATGTATAATCAGATCCTAATCCATATACAAAAATATTTTCAGATCCTAATCCATATATAAAAAAAAATTATCTCTAAATCAAAATATCATACCGAACAATATTAACACTTTCAAATTTCAACGCAAGAAATTCTTTTTTTTTTTTTACGTCAGCTTCCGAGTCAGCTCGCAAGCCGACGAAGTTAGTTCGTTTAGGCTCGCCTCGTAGCGAATTGGCTCATTTAATCCATTTTTTAATTTGGGTTGAGATATTTTTGACTCGGCTCGATAAAAAATAGCCAACCTCGAACTCTTTCACCAATTCGCCCGGTTTTGACATCTCTACTTCAACGCGCCACGACAAAATTGGAATAGAATGGAAGTATAAAACATATAATTCTGGATTTTATATACATGAATATATATATATATATACACATATTTTATTACTAATGCTTTTTGTCTTTTAGTATGTGACTGTATGGTCGTGTACTAAGTATTAACATAACAATCCGTTTGTCCGTACAAGGAGACATAACTATGCTATTGTTACTTAATTACTCACTAATTACTAATTAGTTAAAGCTTATTGAGGTCACTCTCCCTTACGAAGAGCCCGTGGAAACCGTACGGAACCCTTCTCGGCAATTTCACGGCGGCGACAATCTCGAGCTCCGGCGACTTCGCGTCCATCACCAGAAACCTCGATTCCCCGGCGATCTCGTCGTGAACGTACGTCACCACTATTTCGTTCTTGACCCGAATACCATA